AAATGGACCATCACTGTTGAACAGGGGGAGGAGTGGCTTCAGACCTGCTGACTCTAATAAGGTGGTAATGAGTGGTACTATAAGAGCAGGGCCTGTGAGGTTTTGGTTTGGTTTGGTTTGGCAAAATGGTTCCAAGTTGGTGACCAGCCATATCAGCTGCTCCACCACTGTGATTTCATTCATGATTTCTGGAGTGTTCAGTTGGTTTAGCTGGAGGCTCATCTTGATATTGGCCAATATAGTTTCCAAAGTTTGTACAACCACCATATTAGCACTGGAACTGAAGTTTGCCTGTATGAGTTCACTGGTAGTTTTATTGGCAATTACTGGGATCAAAGACAGGGCTGTGGTGTCATTATGGAGAGTAGGAAGTTGGGTCAGAAAGCCGCTGATATCATTTATTAGTCCCATGACACACTGACTTGTTTCCACCATGGTGTTTTGAGGTTTAAAACACTCATTTGCATCAACAATCCTCATCACTTTTGTCATCAGATCATTCATGTTGGCAGCTCCAACTACAGCAACAATTTCATCCAGCTGGTGAATGGTTAGATTTGATTCCAGCAAAGCATTCTCAACACTGGACCCCGTAACATCTGTCATATTTGTCACTAACCGGAGGAAATGAAGAGCCTGTTTGATTGTTTCTACATAGGCAGTATCATTTGTTGGCAAGAGGAGTGAGAAGAAGGTAGCTGTAAGGACTTCATATTCCTGACTCCAGGCAGCTGAATTATTTGGAGATATTTGAATAGTGACCCCGCCATTGGTTGCAAGCATCATTTCTACAATTTGAGAAAGAATTGTGGGGATTTGTAAAATTCCCTGCAGACAGTTCTGTCCTGTTTCTTCTGTGCAATTAGCCACCTGGTTCTGCAGAGCTTTAAAATCTTGAACAAAGCTAGCAGCATCTCCTTGCACACCAGATGGTAGTAGTGCTACAAACTTCTGAATGACAATGTTTTGGGCAGCATCTGGTCCAGACTGAGTTAGCACCTGAAGGCTCTCAGGAGTCAATAGGCTGAGAACGTTCATCAAAACCATGTGGAGATCAGTGACTTGGGTTGTATTCAGCTGTTCTTTTGGCATCAGGAGATATTCAACTGACTGTAGTCTGAAAGCAGAAATCATGAACTGTTGAATCTGGTGCAAGTACCCAAGAATGATGTTAGTTGGGTCACCATTTGGAGAATCTGTCAGTGTCTTTAGAAGTTCAGTGGCTCTGAGGATGGCTTCTATAATACTAGCTGTGGTCTGGTTGGTGAAAGGTTGGATGGCTTCTGTGAGATTGGCCACATAGTTGGGGTTGAAGTAGCCAGTATAGTTTAGCAGACTGTACCTCATGATGTTAGAGAGAGGAATTGTCAGGTTACCCTTCAACGAGAAAAATTCCAATATCAGCCTCTCCAGTTCAGGAAGTGATGTGTCTGTTTCATTGAAGTTGTATTGGTTGAGCCTGCCCAATGTTGAAGCTATATCAAGCAA